TCTTAAATACCTCAATGACACGAGAAAACTTGGCATTACTCTAGGAGGAAGCCAAAATCTAGAGCAGTATAAAGCACACAATATCTGTCTGCCTTTTCAGACGCAGACTACGCTAACTGCCCTGATACTCGTCGATCCGTAGGAGGATACATCACCTACCTGTGCGGAAGCCCAATATCATGGCAATCCCGGAAACACCACACAGTCGTGTTATCCACAACAGAAGCTGAATACATCGCTCTGTGCCACTGCATGCAAGAAGTTATCTTCTTAAATCTTCGTCTCGTCGAACTAGGCCACGAAAGTCCACATCCCATTACTCTATATGAAGATAACCAAAGTTGCATCAAACTTTCATACAACCCTGAGTTACATGGTAGAAGCAAACATATCCACATTCGATATTGCTTTGTACAGGAGAAAGTCGAAAGGAAGGAATTCGAGATTAAGTACTGTAACACCAAAGAAATGGTTGCAGACATATTCACAAAATCTCTGGCAAAACCAACCTTCACAAAACTACGAGACTCCTTGTGTAAATAAAAAAAAAACATAAAAAACTAAATATTTATATAATAAATAAAATAAAAGGTGAAGATTTTATTTTTTAATTACAGGAGTAATGTCCTCAATTGAGTAAACCCCATCAATATTCTCAAAAAAAAGTCGAGCAGTAGGTCTTTCCGATTCGGAAAGTAGTGGTAACGATCTGAATCAATAAAAACAAACTTGTTGCCCACCCAAACACGGGCAATACAATGCCACGTCCCTGAGCTTTGGCCAAGCCGCCGTCCGATAACCAGTAGGGCAGGTCGGCGGCTCCGAATAATGGCCTCAGGACGCTTGGGTCTGCTCTTGAAGCCGGCCTTTGTGTTCAGGTAAATCAGCTGTTTTTGACGACGCTGGAGTCCTTTCTGCAACGCATCCATTGTGTAGGCCCCGTAGCGTACATGGCCATGGTCCTTGTTAGGGGCCGTTGCAGTAAGACGCTCTAATACAGGCCTCATCATGGCAGGAGTGATGAAATCCCGAACTTGAAGAGCATTCGAAATTGAGAGAAGCCCACACATCGAGTACTTCTCGGGAAGCATCTCCTGATGCTGGCAAAGAACGGAGATTCGGCGGCTGACAGACATCTAACACATACAAATCAAAAGATATTAGTAACTTGGTCACATCAGACATAATGATCACTGTAAATGGGTAGATAATAAGCTCATTCAAACAAACCCGGTTCTTTAGACCTGTGAAGTCTTATCACTTGAAAGCCTTAGTCCAAACTGTGACGTTCAGACTCGCATTCACAGGATCTCTTTCCCCGAGAAGCTTGAAAAAGCTGAAAAAAAACACAGTATAACTACTACATAGTAGAAAGTAGGGTACCTTGGAGTTGACACGGCGAGATTGCGAATGAGAATTGAAATGCTACGTTTTCATTAGCGATACACAACCTAGGTATAGAACTACTGTAAAACAAGAGAAACTCCTCTTCCACATCTGAGCCCAGGTATAGCCTCCGAAGTGAGCAATACCGCAAAATTCCTATCCGTCCTCAGGACAAGTAGGACAGTCCTCGTCCTCTTTCAAAATTATTGTACTGATTACAGTACCATATGGGATAAGAGAACTTCACCATTTGGACACAGAGAGGATGTCAGTGTGCGTGCCCTAACTGGTGACATAACTACAATAATCTGTACAATAAGGCTAAAGTCACGTACTATGTAGTAGACACAAACCTCCTACAACTGTTCGATCTGTTACTACGGGTACTACCAAATGAATGGTACATGTACTTCCGACAACTAAGCTATTCAATCACAATTGCTTTTACCGCAAACGCAAGACTCCTCTCCTTCCTCCGTCTTTTCTTCCTCTACGGCCTTCCACGAAAACCTCGACCAGCAACACAAATCGCTGCTTTCACCATCTTCTTTGGTAATCTTGTGTGTGTGCAGTGACCCTTACGACTACGATAAACCGGTAATATACTAAATCTAATTGAAGAATACAGTGCGTGACCATTTTGCAAAGTTGAATTCGACATTCACTCCTGATTGACACAAATATTGTCCAGATTTCGTTTAGTATTCTGATCATCAGCTGGCAGTGCAAACACAGACTATCACTAGAGTGGCCGCTTTATGCAGATAGACTGTGTTGGACTGTGCAAGACTGTGTACAGTATGACGGTGTACGTCGTCGCTATCAGACGGTGTACGTAGGCTCTGCCAATGCTTTTGACGACGCCGCAGCTAACGGTCACTTGAATGTCGTAAAATGGCTTCATCTCCATCGGTCAGAAGGGTGTACGCCGGGAGCCATGGATGAAGCCGCTGCAGGAGGTCATTTGCCTGTTGTAATTTGGCTACGTTTCAACCGAAACGAAGGTGCCACCACCGCTGCAATGGATCTCGCCGCTAGGCGAGGCTACACTGCTATCTTAAATAACTAGACCAACGTGGCGTCTGTCAACGTCAAAAATGTGACAGGAATGCCATTGGCTAAAAATCTGCCGAGCGCAGCGATGGTGCCAGGCAGCCATCGCTGGACCCCGCCGGCGAGAACCCCATCGCACTTCGGCTGTGCGCATGCTGTGAGCAACTGCTCGAGTGGGACACCTTTGCGAAGCGGAGGTGGGCAGCACTTGCTACTGTGACCAAACATTAAACCACCGCTGCGAAGCGGCGGCGCTCGGCTAGTCGTGCATTGGTTGCATTCCCATCGTGATGAAGGCTGTGAAGCAAGACAGTTTCAACAAGTTGAACCTTCTTTTACTTGACCTTGATATTCTGTTTCCTAGTTCCTTAGCGTTCATTACACCATCTAATTCAACCAATCAACGACAGCTCCACGTGGCCAAGTCGAAGTAAAGATCGCGACAACACCACACAGCCATAAAGCATTCCGCACTGAATCCCAAGAAGCTTTAGTGTATTCAATCTCCCGATGTCTTACTGGCAGTTCCTTTGCGTGGCGCTGCTTGCGCTTCTTGGCTCTGTACAGCTGGCGGCCGCCGACGAGGCCGCGTCCAACGTGATCGTGCTGACTAACGACGACTTTGAGCACAAGACGCAAGCTGGCTCGGGAGCCACGACCGGGGACTGGCTCGTTGAGTTTTACGCGCCGTGGTGTGGCCACTGCAAGAAACTGGCGCCCATCTACGAAAAGGTGGCGGATGATCTAAAGGGCGAGGTGAATGTGGCCAAGGTGGACGTGACGGCCAACGCTGACCTGGGCAAGCGCTTCGGCATCCGCGGTTTCCCCACGTTGCTGCACTTCAGCCACGGCAAGTCGTACAAGTACGCGGGCAAGCGCACGCTCGAGGATCTCGCGGCCTTCGCGCGCGGTGGATTTAAGAAGGTGGAGGGTGAAGTGGTGAACGCCGCCCCGAGCTTCCTGGACTTCGCCGTGCAGCAGGTGCACGACATCAAGAGGGACTTCATCACGTTGCTGGCCACCAAGAAGAACGTGCTGCTCGTGACCTTCTCGGGTGGCCTTCTGCTTGGTCTGCTGCTCGGCTGCATGTGCGGCTGCTGCACGAGCCGTGGCAACAAGGCGCCCAAGACCAAGAAGGAGTAAGTCTGCCGTTGAATAGTACAGCAGCTGAGCTGTTCGTATGTTTCCACATTTTTTAATGGAGCTTTGGGCTGCAATTTGAAAAAAAAAAATTATATGTGTTGTTGTTCACATTGCTTGAGCGATGCGCTGGTTGAGTTCCATGAAGCTGTATTTCAGCTCCAAACTCTCGAAGAGAGACTCTTCCACGCCCTTGTAGCTTGCGAGCATCTCGTCCACTTCCACAAGCTTATCCGGATCGCGATCCTCGAAGAAGGCCACAAGTCGTGCCCGATACGGGTTATCGTGAGTGATGGTCGTTGAGAACGAGAGTGTTTGTGCTTCTTCATGTCGCTCTGGCGAAGAAGCAGACGCGGGTCTCACCGCTGCAGACGTAGGTGGACGTCCATTTAGGACTGCAATGTCGTCCTCACTTAATGTGTACGGCACCGGCGAGTCTTCCTCCTCTTCCGTAGTCTCATCTCGGCTTGCTTCACTGTCATCGGGACGATTATCGCTATTGGGAGATGATTCATCCCTAACCGAAAGGTCCAGCATCTCCACCGCTTCTGTTCCGGTCTCTATATCCCTAGATTGGACTTCTGGCTGTATTGGCTTTTGCTGTTGCTTGAGCTCATTCCGAACTTCTTGAAGTTTCTTCTCATTCTCTTCAGCTTCGTTAATGAGCGTCCGGATCTGAGTCAACAACAATTCATTCTGCTTTTTCAACCGCTTGTTCACCATTCGCGCTTCACTCGCCTCAGCCATAGCCACAGCGATCTGTCCCTCGGTCTGAGTACGCATGTTACGGATTTCCGTCACTAGCACACGTCTCTGGCCACGAGCTTTCACTAGCTGCTGAGTTAACTGCAAGCGTTCTTGTTCCCAAGTCTGCATTTGCTCTTCGTATTGCTGCTTCGTCGCGGCCATTTCCCTTGCAATTTTTTCCAGTCTGGTAGAAGTTCCAGTTAAATGATTGTTCAAAGGGTATCCCAACTCCGCACGACATCTTAACACTGCTGCTTCAGCCTGCCCAAGCTCCTGCTCGAGCCTGTTGCGAGTCGTAGAGTCCATTTCACTCGCCAAGCTGGAAGCCTCTTCATCACCGTCAAAGTCATCCGTCTGAGCCACAAGATGTTAGTGGAGTTAACACTTTAAGAAGTATGGCAATTGGCGTAGCGTACCATAGCCCAACGGTGTTTTTCTTCCAGTAGTGCATCTCTTTCTGCTTGAATCTCACGCCATGCTTCACGTTCTCTCTGTATCCGTTGGAGTTCACCTGCGATAGAGGCCAACTCCTGCTCCCTTGCCTTCACTTCGTTTGCAAAGTTCTCCTTCTCCACTATTGCCATGTGCGTCCTTGATCGTTCTTGATCGCGTTCGGTTGTCAGCTTGGCTACGCTGTCCTCTAAGCTTTCCTGTATACATGATAGACCAGAAATATGGTTAATACTGAGCGTAAGCATCAGAGCGTGACTGATTGCCTTACCATACGCTCCATTAACTGCATGTTGAGTCCGTTCAGCTCCTCCAGCAAACTACGAGCTTCGGATTCTCCACTGCGCTGGGTTCTCGATGCTGGTACTACCGCTGTTTCTTCCTGTGAGCCAAACAATTTCCACGCCAAATTCCCAGCTGCGCTGATCGGTGCACTCAGTAACCAGCTCTGCTGAGCAATAGCCTCCGGGATGTACGCAGAATACCCAGACTGCTGGTTTGCATCGGATGAAGCCCCAGCGCTTACAATGAGTGCCGTGGACAGAGCAACATCTCGCTCTTGATCGCGTGCCTTCTCCGCTTGGACAGCTTCATCCAGCGCATCTGCCGCCGCTGTCGCTGATTCCATAATACTGTTGGTTACTACTTGAACCTGGTACAATATATTCTTCCTACACGAGGACATAACAGCCAACACTGTTAAGAACTCGGATACCTACTCATGTGTAGCTATAGTACTTACCCTCGCAGCCTCGAATACGAATTATCCCACACTAATGTGGCCTTCCCTGGTCGTAGACACCGATACAAACCCTGAACAGCACGGCCCGTAGTTGTCGACACATATCTCGTACGTGCATGCACAATTTCAACCGGTTGCTCGTACGGTTCAGGAGCAAATGATACACTGAAATCCACGTCGAAATCCTCCAACTCGAACTTCCACACAATAAAATGCGGGGAATCGTCGTCTTTGTTGGCCTTCACTTGCATCACCACTTCATGTCGTGAGCCTCTCGGCACATAGAATTTCTCCAACGGAAAGGGTTGTAAGATAAAGTCAACCGCCGTCATGTGCATTCGAGCGCCTTTGTCTTCATCACGTTCGGCCACAAAGCTCAACCAGTCTGGATGCAATTCTAACATTCCGCAGCGATGGGCGGCCAGGAACGTCGTCATCTGAGCGCACCATTGGGCGATCACTGAGTCGTTGCGACTTCCCTTCGGTGGGAATTCAGGCAGACGCAGGTGTTCATTGGTGTCATTAATGGGCGTCGAAGCTGCCACTTGGATGGCGTTTAGCACATCGAACAGAGTGTTGAGAGGTCGTTCGATGCAGTAAGAAGTGGTCCCTTTGGTCACGACAAACTCGACTGAGTAAATATGGAGGTCCGAGGTGTAAAGGGAAGACGTGATGCTCTGCGTGACACTGGGAGGGGCTACGTCGACGCTGGTTACTACGACGTCCAGGAACCGATCAGCGTCGAAGTTGGCGTTTTCATCGACAAGGACGTCTGGATCCTGGGATGGAGCTGCAGAGGAGTCTGCGGGGGTGTCGTGAGCGACAGGAGCTGCGCTGGCGTCGGCTACTTCTGCCACATCGGCCATCGCCGTTTCGTGTTCAAGGCAGGCCTCAAAAAGATGGATTCGAGGGAAAAGCGCCTAATTTAAAAATTAGATTATTTAAAGTAGGCTTTTTTTCCCTCAGATCCTTAAATTAGGGAATTCTTTTCTTTAAATTAAAAAAAAACTACTCTAAGGATTGACCTTCCATAGTTCATTCAAGATAAACGAAGTCGCTAACACACACCTTTTACTAGTGATACGCTCCGCAAAACGCCATCAAATTCGAATCGGTTCGAGGTAATAATGAGTCGCTCCAGAAAACGAAGACTTGAAGGTCTTCAGTGGTGGTATAATAAATCCACCAATGTGATCGATCTCGTAATGTGGATCTCCATGCAGGAGCGCTTTAATAAAAAAAAGAAAAAAAGAAAAGAAAAGAAAACACGGTGCTGCAAACCTTAGAGGTTAGTCGTTCGTATGTTGGGGACCACCGTACCAAGGCTTAAAGTCATTCCGCCGTGTGTACTGGGCGCCAACAGTGTACTGATATCTGTGCATTCGGTCAAGGCATTATATTTGTTAAGGCGGTTGATCTTGTTGACGTGAAGGTCATCTATAAAGCTCGTGATGATTCATGTCTACTGTCAATCATCCACCGGACGGGGAGACCCATGTACACGTCCAGATTGACGTTCCCCATCCGAATCGGATGAAACTGTTGTTAAATTCCGATCGCGGCGCGTGATTATGGCAGCACCTTGATTTCTTTCCAGCCCCCACTTCGGCGCGCTTGTGGTGACACTGGACGTGCCCGTCATTTTGGCTGCAGACCCGGCGCATTTTGCCGTGACAACGGGCGCTCTCGTGGCTTCTGCTCCGGACGGCCACTAATCGACGCTGTTTCATGGCTGCTGTGGTCACGGCAGGTGTCAACGTGACGGCGCTTGCTGCAGACTCGTCTTATCGGAGCTTCCTTTGCTTCTATTCCTGGGCGACCTGCTCGACTAGGAACCGACTTCGTCTCGTTGTTGCCGTGGTTACGGCGGTCAATTATGCGATCATCGTGACTGGCTCCAGACGCGACGCCACATGTGCAATTGAATCAGCCGCACTTGTGGCTCCCGCAACGGGATTGTTGTTTTCTATAACAACCGACTCTGTTTATGTGACTAGCATCGCCACGGTGTCAGAATGCGTGGTCAATTTGACATCCCTCCAGCTCTCGCCGCGACGCTTGTGGTGGGTCCTCTCGCTACTGGAATGACTGGGTGAGCAGTAACCGATGTCGTCTCACGGCTTGTAAGCACGGGGTTTGATCTCAGGAGCATAATGGTGACTCGCTGGCTTCTACCCCGACGAACTAACTGATGTGCCAGATATCTACGTTACCATTAATTTCCTCTAGTATCACGATTTGAGTGAGAGCCCTTTGCTGAACCTCCACGCAGACGTGGATGTAGCTGCATAGCACCACCACCGCCTCTACCATTGGAATCAGACATCAGACAAGATAAGCGGTGGGGGCGGGGCGCATTGGAGGCATCGTACCTTTGTATCATATGAGTTCTCGTGGTGGCGGCACTATTAAGTTTTTTGAAACACTAATGACAGGCTTCTGACCAGCAACCGAATTCACGTCGTGACCACAGTAGCTATGGCGGTAGAACTTGAAAAAAAAACGACATTCATGATTAAAACTGGACGGGTATACTATGTGTATCAATCGCGTATGCTCCCGAACAGAATAGCTGGTCAGCGACTCAATTCATTTCATGCCTCACATAATTACGGCGGTAAAGCTCGGGACCATAGTGACGTATCGTGGGCAACAGACTCGACGTGTTTGATGTGGCATCGGACACTTCAGTGGGTTCTGTTCCTGGATGGCCTGCGGTCAGGAACCGACGTCATCTAGCGACTGCCATGGTCAAGGTGGTCAATCTCGGGATCATAGTGTCCTTTCGCGCGCTCCAGACTCAACACATTTGCCGTGGTACCGGACACTCCCGTGGCACCTGTTCCTGGATGAATCGGTCGCTCAAGAACCGATTTTGTCTCCTGGCATTGTTGCCATGTTGATGGACCTGGCGTCGGTTGTGACGCCTCTCCTGCTCCAGACTCGACAGATATGTAGGGATACCGGGCGTACCCGTCGCGTGATAGCCTGGTTGACTAGCCTCGAAGTTTGCCTCATAGTCTTCGCTGGCAGGGCGTTACGGAACAGTCTTGTTGACGACGGACTGATGTCGCTTCGTGGCTGGCGTGGACATGAGGATGGCCGTGACGTCTCTCCCGTTCCAGGATCAGCAAATTTAACGTGACACCACACGCAGCCATTACTGACCCGCCCACCTAGTCGTACTTCCATTACTGGCCGTAGCTACGGCTGTCACCATTTGTAGCTATGCAGACGTCATGACAACGCTCCAACTCGTGTTCGGAGGCGTCGAAGCTGGTAGCGTTTTGTCGGTGCAGCTTCGCGAGCTCCAAGTGTTAATCGTGGAAACGGCTGTTAGCGGTGATAAAGACGTGGCGGCGCGCTAATTTGAGTCCCGGTATGTCGGACACGTCTGCGACTCTTTGGTGTTTTAGTATTGCTCCCTGTGCGGTTCCAGGGCTCAGTAGCTGCCGTGTGTGCCAGCTACAATTCGTCGACGTTGTACAACTTCTAGTCGTGCGCCGGATTTGTCGGTGCGTCTACGTTGTCTGATAGGCTTAAAAACTTGGTTTCGGGTCGAGAAGATCCGATCGTTATGTGTAGACAAGTGATCCTATCGACAGAGCTCCGATCGTGTAACGTCTATATTATTAGCAACTCTACTGCGTTTCAGAGCAGGTTTTCGCCGTACTTCTTGGCTCTCACGACCATGGTGCACGATGCCGTGAGTTTGTCGGTGTCGCCCTGGTTCCCGTCTTGTGACGGAAGATTCCGTGGTATCTCTACGTCTTTGTTTGACACGCTGTTGGAGTTGTTCCCAGCCTTCTCGACCATGGCGCAGTTTCACGTGGACTTGATGATTGTGATCCGGTTGTTGTTGTGCGCCAGAGGTGCGAACATGTTGTTCGAGTGGACGCCCGGGGGACTACATGCAAGTGGTGTTGCTAAGCCTTGGAACTGTTGACGCATGCATGACATCCCAGTGATGCTAACGGCAAGTGGGGTGAGACGGAGCCGTGGGACGTGCTTGTGCAGGCCATGGAGAACGTGCTTACGAACACGACGTAGCGTGGACGTCGTGAAACAGAGTGTGCGTCGTCTGCAACGACACCATCGAAGTGAGGATGTAGATTTCGAAGCTCAAGATTTTGGAGCCGGTGACAACGCCAATGCAAGTTGTGCAGGAGATGATGCTCGCGTTCGATCATCGCATGCAATCTCGGTGGAGTTGTGTGCGACGGAAGGTCGCATCGAGACTGCGAAACGAAAGTTTCTAGATGCCGAAGATATGCGTGCGGAACATTTTGCTGCAGGAGATAGCCCAACACCCGGACGTTTACCGGGGACGTCAAACTCCAAGTTAGGGAGAATGTCCCGAGTCTGGGTGGCAAGCCGACCGGCCAGGATGTGGCGGCCGGGTGCTCGGCTGGAGTCCTGTATTTGACCCAGGATTGGGTGAAACCTTTTGATATGGGTACACCTGGCGTGGCGTACAAAATCCGGAGCCGCGTTGATGACCCGAGGTCGCGTTGATGACCCGAGGTCGCGTTGATTCGACAGAAGAGACGACGTGCAAGGCCAAGGGCGTGAGAAGCAGGCGCCAAGGCCGGGTGACGCGAAGGACAGAAGCTGTGGGTGTGTGGTATAGCAGGATCAGCGATATACGCAAGGTCGATGATTCCCTCATCCCATCTGGCCCAGTCTACGGACTAAGGAAAGCCCCCCCCCCACCTCAATGATCTGTGATCTTGTGCTGACCTTCCTCACCTTGTGTACCCGACAGTATGGGCAATACCATCCTTTCTGGTAACTACTGATGGGTTCAAAGCGTGAAGGCTTGAACGGCTTGGCGAGACGTGGGGAACGGGGTGGTACAGCGCAGGAACTCTTCGTTCTGCTGCCATAGAAGTCCAGATCCCAAGAGATTACTCGAGCTTGGATCTGGCGACCTGGATCTGGATATTACCCAGATACTAATAACCGTCACATGATCAACTAACCGTAGGCTTGCTAACACCGCGAGCAGCTTGTTGTTCCTATTCTTTGCCGCAGGGAAGGCACTTGATCTCTCCGATGCAAATTCGGGTATAATTTATGTGTTAGCCTGGTGGTCCCATCCTAAATATCTGTCATCACGACTACAAGGCGGTCATATGCTACTGACTCTATCTCTACCTAGCACCTTGGACACGCATCATGATTACTTCACTTGTCTGTCGTAGTGTAGACTTCCACTCCATGGCCTTTAGGCCTTGACTTCCTTGATCGCCTTGCTTTCCAAATGTCGGCCGAGATCGAGATCTTGTCTTGAGATCCAAGGCTCCAGATCTGCTGGATCTAGATCACGGAATCCTTGATGCCACTCTCGCCACCTCTTCAACCTTGAACGATCTCGATCCTGCCACTCTTATGGAATAGTGTCAGGTCGCCGTCCATCATTCTGATAATCAATCCGGAAGCATCACTCATCACATTTCTCTGCAATCGCACCACCACAGGAGATGAAGTGCACCGAGGAAGGCTTGAGGAAGGGTGGAGGGCATGTACAAGGAGCCAGACGAGCGCGCAAAAAAGGTAAGCCATGCATATTGGTGCGAACGCGACAGGTTGTCGACGTTCTTAGTTTTCATTTAGTCGAAATTTTCCGATAGCGCTTAGATCCTAGGACAACGCTAACGCAAGTTAGAATAGTGTTTTTAGATTTATTCTTATTTGCTGTTTCCTATATCTTTCTGGCTACATCGGACTCAAGTACAAGTTTTCCTTTCTACGACGGTGCACGACATTATAGCTTATGCAATCGCGAGCTATTATAATAGTGACCCTGTGCTTCAGATATTCATAGCCGTTTAACCGTTGGTTGCTTGACAGCAACTTGCTCTATGTGTAGATTGCACACTATGGGTCGGCGTCGCATTTCAGTCAAGATCTGATCCAGTTTCGTAATCACGGCCTGATTACGAAACGAATATGGTATTGGCATCAATATCAGATTCTGTAATTTCAGATTTTTACCCGCCTCAAAACCTGAGTAAAAAAAACTGGACTTACACGAGTTGAGTATTGTGGCGCTTACAGTATTATTCTGCGTTTGATTATTGTCGACGGTGGTTAGAACCAGGTCACATGACCTCTGAATGCGACTTGCTTTTTTGAAAATCTGGAACGGTCAGAAATCGTGATTTTTCGCTTGGTGTACAGAAACCTCGACTCGACGTGAAGAGTGAAGAAGGTGGCGAAGCAGAGAGAAGGAAGGCCGCAGTGGCCCTTAGCGACAGAACAGACAACGGCGGGCCACGAGAGCGACGGCAACATGCGTTCGAAGGCCGTGGGTACCCAGGGAGGAGCTCCAAGCGACACAGCGCCTGCAGCGGACGTCGCTGTCTCGTGTGTGTCCAACTCGACGGGCGCCGAGTCGCCTGCTACGCCCATGGAGGTGGCACTGGCCGCCCATACAGACGAACAAGAGCAGAAGTCTCTAAATCGACAGGAGGATGAGCCTATGACGCCAACACAGATGCAAAATGAGCAGAGGCGGGAGCGACACTGGCGACGTATGGTGCACAGTGAGCTAAGGGATCGATTGATTGCCACCATGTACGTGCGCTTAAAGAAAAGAAGCTGAATAAAGTTTGTATTGATGTAGAGTGGTGGCTTAATGCAGGATGGAGCAGTTGCAGAGGATAACAGGGGACCCGGATGTGCGGCACTTGAGAATGTGCGCGTCTCGCTATGAGTCGTTCGTGTGGAAGAAGAGCGCCAACCAGGTGCAGTACAAGCAGAAACTGGAGCACCGTATCGAGTCATTGCGTCGCCAGCCATCACACGGTGAGAACGGGGGCATGGAGGTCACGGTGCGACTAGTGGAAGGTCATCGACTGAATCTGATTCGGTCGCCTAGTCCGGCGGCTACTGCGACGCCGTCGTTGGTGCCGTGTCCTTTTAGCCGACACCAAATGCAGGAAG